TAACTGGCTCGCTGCGTTCCCTTAGCACTCTTTTCCTCAATATGCCCCGTGAGGGTTAAGTTTTCCAATCCCTCCTTTCCCACTATGTGTCCAATGCATTTCAGCTGTCTTTTCCTGATTCCGAACAGAAGAGTTCTTTCTGTTGTCATTTACTTTAAGACTTCCTTGTTGCTTACTCGCTCCGTCCATGGAATATTCCCCTGTAGAACCACATTTATACTGATTCATCCGTGGCGGGATTGTCTAGCATTTACCCTCATATAAAAGGATGGATAACGCATAGATATCCAGCACCTTTTTCTTTGTTTCGAACAAATTTTTTTACTTAGCTTTTGAAATACTTCTTTTCCTAATCCAGTGCCTGTTCGGACTTTGCATTTTCCATACTCTGTTAAAACACGTTTCGGACATTTGAACTTCTGCACCGTCTGGATGTTTGTATCTCCAATTTGTAACTCGCATCTTGGCCTTTTTCTCTTGCTGAAGACCATAGCTCTTGCCTTCTTGAAACTCGATAGTTATTCCTTTTTTCTTGCTTTCTTCATCAACCTTGTCTAGTACGTCCTCTAGTTTTCTTTTCAAGTCGGCCATCCACATAGTTTCATCTGCTTATCTTATAGTGTTAAAATTACGCCCACTGATAATAAATACAGGCAGGGTCTCCAGTGCCCTTAGTATATATGACTGTAGAGGTTGAATAAATCTGGGGCAGAAGACACATTCTAGCACCACGCCCATTTCTCTTTTTTTTCTGTAGCTACTCAATTCTTAATGTCAGGGGTATCCAAGCTTTTTTTCAAAGAGGGTCACATTTGATGAGGTGAATATGCGTGAACGCCACTCATTCGGCTTACATTTTTTGGAGCCATTATAAATAAATGCTAATGAACTACCTTGTGATTTTATTGTGAATAGCATTTTTCCATTTCTTCATATGGATGACAAATGAATTTAAATAGGTTTTACTAACATCATTCAGCCCGTCATATCTGAAGCCCATGAACGAGCTCGCTTCCAGGTCATTTCACACGAACGCGGTTGTCGCCAAAGGCTCTATCCTGTGTCCTACGCTGTTTCTGATCTCCATCAATGATATTCCTGATGTCATAAGTTCCCAAGTAGGCATTTATTCAGATGTCACTACCATTTACTCCTATCTCAATAACAAATTCGTCAGATCTGACAATTTTAACCTGCCCGCTGCTCTTGAAAAGTACCTCCAAACAGTGGTTAACAGGGCCAGCAAATGGCTTGTAAATTTTAATGCCTCCAAAATTAAACTGCTCTCATTTAACCACCATAGGGAAAGTTCACTGTCCACCATCTGCATGGCTAATGCTTTACTGCTTGAGAGTGTCTGACTGCGCTTTCTTGGTCTCACGTTTTCAAGTGACTTGAAGTGGAAGAACTATATTGGATCTATAGCTGCATCATCTACTGCAAGGAAATATGGTCCATTGTGTCGTCTCAGAAGGATTTTCTAGTCAGAATCCATCTTAGACATTTAAAAATCTACTACTGGTCCGTGCATTGAATACTGTAGTCATATCTGGTCTGGTGCTCCTACTGTTCATCCCGAGGTTCTTAATAAAATCCAAAGAAGGATCTGCAATGTAATAACTCCCAATTTAGCGTTTCGTCTTCAGTCACTTTCTCACCGACTTGACGTGGCTTCCCTCTGTCTTTTCTACAAATATTTTCATGGCTACTGCTATGGCGAGCTTTTATTTTCCCTGGTGCCCCGACTACATAAATTTAAACATGCTGCTAGATTGGCATCTAGGCCACACCCTTTTATTGTTGGAATAATTAAATGTAGCCGCCACTTCTACTCCAACAGTTTCTTTTCTCGCACTTCACGACAGTGGAAGTCCCTTCAGCTTACCTGCTTTTCTGATAACTACAATTCTTCAAAAATTCAAATGCAATGTTAATCGCCATCATTTGTTGTCTTGAACCATGTTCATCATTTATTTTTCCTCACCCCACTATACCCAAACTTTTCTCCCACTTTTACTCTCTGTAACCCCCTGCGTACTAGTGGCACTCACGCCTTACTTGGTAGGAAATGATTAAAAAATTTAAGAGGAAGTAAAATATGCCTGAGAAAAAAGAACTTCCTGGAAGCTATAATATACCACAGATTAATCTTAAACATTATATTTTATTGGTAATAAATGTTGTGTGTCAAGTTTTAAGTTAAAACATATGAATAGGAATAAAACACCAATATTCATCTTATTAAGAAGTAAAACTCATAAAGTGATTCAAGTCCAAGTGTCCAAATATATTTATAACTGATTCTGACCAACACAAAACAAATTTAATTCACTAAGCTTTTAGAATTTATTCATCTCAGATGACCAAAACAAATAACTTGTCTGCACTAATGTGAAGGGTGATACTGAGGTCTGGACTGCAATATATAGGCCAGGTCTGGTTCAAAGGCAGTGATTTTAGAAATCGGCAACAAAAGGCCAATGTCAGCGTCACGCCGTTAGAGAGCGGCCACACAGTGTTGCTGCCATCTTTTGGTAAAAACATTAAATTGCATTTCTTAGGCGTGTACTTTATATACTCTGATTGACAATACTCGCGTGCCATAAATGATACATTCGATAACAGAGAAGAGTGGTGTGGGGCATGTGAAATTTGACTGTGAGTCGTATTTGGCCCGCGGGCCGGACTTTGGACATGCCCGCAGGCAGTTTCCACTCGGAATAAATACTGGATTATTCTAACTAGTAACTGTAAAAAGAAATTAAGAGTAACAGCAGGAGTAACAGCTCAGAATGTGAGTTCCGTATTGGAGACATCAAAATCAAATAGGTAAAATTTAACTCTCTGGGTAATGACAAAAAATGAAACGCGGAGCTACGAAGTTACATTGGAATACCGAAAGACGCACTCCAAGAACTAAACAAAGAAATAAAACACACGGATTTTTCCGTTAGAAACAAAGAAAAAGAAAAATCTGCTTGCAATTTACCTAGCTCTGTATGGCGGTGAATGTAGGACAATTTCCTCATTGATGAAAATGGAACTTGAAGCGACTGCAATGTGGTTCTATAGAAGGATGCTGCGAATACCATGGACGGAGCATATGAAAAACGAGGAAGTTTTGATGGAAATGGAAACAACAAGCACGCTTGTTCTTAAAATCAGAAAGAGACATTTGAAATTACAAGGAAAAAGGATTTGGAGATTTTAATGCACATTAGACATACGACAAGCAGGAGAGGCTGATTGAGAACAGCGAAATAATCTACTTAAGGATTTTATGCAAATGAACAACAGGGAAGGGAATGAGAAAGATGATAATGTGGGAAACGTTGCTTTTAAACTACAAAGTACAGAAAGCTGTGAAGAGTCATGATCGCCTACGGCCTGAGAGGACACGATAAATAAAAGAAAAAAAATGAAGAATACTGTTATCTGTAGAGACACTGATTTTGATGGTAGAGAACAACTGTTGGATTCATTCTGCGTAGTGAAGAGTCTAGCTTCTGTGTTTTCGCCTGTGATATTTTATCAAAGTATATAAATACTACTTTACCAAAACAATTAACAAATTTATAAATACTAACATCAACAGTATTATTCACATCTTTTATGCATTCAGATTTTGATAATGGCTAAATATATACACGAAAATGTTATATTTAAAACACGTTCTGGCAGCTCTTGAAATGAAAACTTAATTACGTTTTCTTGTACGGAACCCGAAGTAAAAAATAAAATGAATTTAATTTCTGAGTTCTCAACATAATATTTATTAACAGAGAATTATATTTTCTATATATTTCATGAGAAACGTTAAAATTACAAGTGTGGTTTCAACTATTCTATTATAATTGCTTTTGCCCCTCTCTTCGTTAGTTTGCACGACCATTACGCCCTGCCAATATCTCATAAATGATGGCCTATTCGGTTTTGGTCGCGTGGAAATAGGGGAAAAGACACTGTTTGGTTTCAGTGAGAAAATAAATGAAAAAAAGAAGGGGAAATAGAAATGCTTATCCTCTTCTGCCAATACTTCAAATTTAATGGACTATTCTGTTTTGATCTCGTAAAAAGAGGGGGAAAAGATACTTCTTGCTTTCCATAAGAAATGAAAGACAGAAGTACTTAAGCATATACCAAATTTCTGTATTTAAAAAAAAAAAAAAAAACACAAAATACTCCTTTATGTTTAATATAAAATATTTTTTCATATAGTTTTAGGTCTGTCGATTTTAATACACACATATATATATATATATATATATATATATATATATATATATACCATTAATCACTGTTTAGTTTAAATGTAAATAAATTATTTATTCCTGTTTATTTTATGTATATAAAATAACATTCCCACCTTAAATTCATCATATATTTTTAAATGCAACATATATTTTTAAATGTAACATATATTTTTAAATGCAACATATATTTTAAAACTAAAAACCGTAATCCCTGTATAATATATGGACTGCACCAGCATTGCGTTATCCGTGTGTGTGTGTGTGTGTGTGTGTGTGTGTGTGTGTGTGTGTGTGTGTGTGTGTGTGTGTGTGTGTGTGTACCAAAATTTTCTTACAAACAATTTTTATTTAGCCAAGCATTTTCAATCTCATCTGAGTCCATCTTCAAAGGGATAAATATTCTGTGAATGTCTATATGCAATTCTTTCAATTCAAAATATCTCAACTGCTTTTTTTACTGCGTTATGCAGCGTTCTAGATTTCAAATTCAAAATTCACGAGGTAACTTATTTATTATATATATATATATATATATAAACTTTTGCTACTTCCTAATAGCTCGTCTAATTTGTTCATCAACAATGTAATTAGAAAAGTGATTATTAATGAAGCTTTGTTTAATATTTTTAATTCGGTGCAGAAAATCTTTCTTGTTGAAGAATTTTATTTTTCACGGTTTAAGTTTCGTATAATACCTATTTTGTAATAGTTAGGACATTCACTTCTATAGTTGAGAGTGCAGTGCATATGTATATACGTCTCTCTCTGTCTCTGTTTCTCTCTCTCTCTCTATCTGTCTGTCTGTCTCTGTCTCTCTGTCTCTCTGTCTCTCTGTCTCTCTCTCTCTCTCTCTCTCTCTATATATATATATATATATATATATATATATATATATATATATAGTTCAAACTTCAATTAAATAGAAAAAAATAAAATCCCTCAATGTTAATGGTAATAGAATATAAGAGAAAGCGCTCGGATATATAAAACATTTGGACAATTTATACACATTATGTCCCAAAAGCATAACACTCATACGAACACAACAATAACTTAAATTAAAAGCATAATCGCAGTACTTTATCAGGAGTTCATAATGAAACTTGTATAAACGAGGGTTGCTACCCAAATACACAATATATATATATATATATATATATATATATATATATATATATATATATATATATATATATATATATATATATATATATATATAAAATGTCATATATCTAGAGTGTTCTTTGATTTTTATCTATGTATATATGTTTTGCCTAAATTTACCATATTCTTTGATTTGATATTTACATTTGTTTCTGTATTTTTGCTACGGTGTCAGTAGTTAAAATACAGAAATAACCTCAGCTGCGTACATCGAATACTTTTGTCAACTAAAAGATTCTCGCTTCTGATCAGTGAAGGAAAGAAACGACTTCATGTTTTTTGGAAGATTCTGGAATTTCTGGCGCTATGAAGCAGCTACCTTCCGTTTAGATGAGTTGTCTTAAAGAAGGGTGACCCTTCATTTCTTCTTTCTTTTTAAAACCGTCACTTGAAACAGAGGTGAATGATCACTAAGAGGAAAAAAGGAAAAAGTTGCACGCATTCTAAAATCCATAGCATATTTTTTTTTTTTTTTTTTTTTTTTTCTTTTTCCCCACGGTCCTCCTCATCCACACCCGGAGTGATATAGATGCTGAAACATCTGGATCAATGAAGTTTCAGTTCAGAATAAAATCCGGAATATTTAAGTTCTTTTTCTCCCAAAGAAATGCACAGTTATTTTCTCTTCGCGTCTCTCTTTCTCTCTCTCTTTCATATCTATCTATCTATCTATCTATCTATCTATCTATCTATCTATCTATCTATCTATCTATCTATCTCTTGTTATTATCTTTCTATGTTTCTATCTAGCTCACACTGTGTGCATGTCTGTCACATTGCTTTCATCTCTCTCTCTCTCTCTCTCTCTCTCTCTCTCTCTATCTATCTATCTATCTATCTATCTCAGTCTGGTTAATATATTTTTGTATTTCTATCTAGCTCACACTGTGTCCATGTCTGCAACGTTCCTTTCATATCTATCTATCTATCTATCTATCTATCTATCTATCTATCTATCTATCTATCTATCTCTTTGTTATTATCTTTCTATATTTCTATCTAGATCACACTGTGTGCATGTCTGTCACATTGCTTTCATATCTATCTATCTATCTATCTATCTCAGTCTGGTTATTATATTTCTATATTTCTATCTAGCTCACACTGCGTCCATGCCTGCAACATTCCTTTCATATCTATCTATCTATCTATCTATCTATCTATCTATCTATCTATCTATCTATCTATCTATCTATCTATCACAGCTTGCTCATTATATTTCTATTTTTCTTTCTATGTCACATTGTCTACATCTCTGTTTCATTCTTTTCGTTTCTATCTATCTATCTATCTATCTATCTATCTATCTATCTATCTATCGCACACTATGTATATGCCTGTCTCATCATTTTCGTATCTATCAAACTATCTGTCATTCACACATAATTTGGAGATAGTAACTCTGTTAATTCTGTTACTTTCTCCCATCTTTAAAAATCAGTTGCACTTAATCAACTTTATCTCTTCATTCAAAATTTCTTTCTCTCTACGTTCCCATAATTCTTGAATTAAAAAAAATGAGAAATAGATAGAATCGCTGTATCAAAGGGATCGAAGGATACGATTGCCAACGAAAAAGAAGAAAAACAAAACTTAATAATACAATGCCAGTGACATCCCAAAGAGGAAATCTGTACAGCATCTACCTGTAATGTTGCACAGGGCATGTTTTCTGAGTTTCCGTTCATCACAGCAGAATTGTTGTCACTTGGGAAAGGATCTTGTTCTCTCTACCTTGTTTCAGTTAGTTACCCCTTTTCTTTAAAATAGGGAATTCTTACTTGTAGGAACGAGTGATCTTTAGGTCACCAATGTTGAAAAAAAATGGAAATAAATTAAGATTTTAAATAAATAAATCGAACAATACTGTCGGTATATACATGACTTCGATAATGTGGCTTTTTCGGTGTCCCACGATAACTGTCGTGACAATGAATACGAATCTGTAATGGTTAACATTAATTAAAAACAATAGCACACAAAAACATGCGCAGACGCACGCACATAAAGCTCCTCGCCACACACACGCACAAAAAATAAAAAGCTTTGAGTACACTGAGAGTTATACCACAACTTCCGAAAAAGGCATTGGTTCGCGTTCGTTCGCTAACAATCGTCTTCGGGCTATCATCTGAAATCTGTGCTGCTACTGAGCGTTGACAACTCAACTTCCGGAAATGTGTCCCATTCGAGTATTTTCGCTAATTATCGTCTTTTGACTATGATGTAAAATCTATACACCAGTAAGCGTTAACATCCCATCTTCCGTTCTTTTGTTAATAATCGTCTTCGGTCTATCATGTGAAATCTGTGCCGCCACTGAGCGTTAAAAACACAACTTCCGGAAAATGGTTCGTTTCGTGTTCTTACGCTAACAATCGTCTTTGCGCTATGATGTAAAATCTGTACCCCCAATGAGCGCTAACACCAGAACATCCGGAAAAAGTGATTGGTTCACGTTTTTACGCTAACAGTCGTTTTGGGGGGTATGATGTGAAATCTGTACCCACAATTAGCGTTAACAACACAATTTCAGGAAAAGGGATTGGTTCGCGTTCTTATGCTAACAAACGTCTTTGGAATCTGTACCACTACTGAGCGTTATCAACACAGCTTCCGGAAAAGGAGTTGGTTCACGTTGTTTCGCAAACAATCGTCTTCAGGCTCTGTTGTGATACCTGTAACCCCACTGAGCGTTAACATCGCAAAGTCCTGAAAAGAGGATTGGTTCGCGTTACCGCGAACAATCGTCTTTGAGCTATCATGCGAAATCTGTACCCCCACACCAAAAAAAGAGGCGGGGGGCAATGAGTACTCATTCACAAACAGGAAGAACAATAATTAGAAAACCAATCTTATCAAGTATGTTGATTCAAATTTTGAACCCTTTTATAACTTTCTCATCACCTCTCGCTCTATCATTTTTTCTCAGATATTGTTTTTTTTTTATTTTCAGTGTCTATTTCCCTTTGTCAGTAAATATGTTGTTTCATTTTTGTTGAATGTCAGAATCTCTCTTCTTGTTTCATCCATTCTTTTGAAACGACCACTTGTAATCATATTCTCCATCAGAAGATTTTACATAGTGGTCTACTCAAATACTAAGGATTACATATACAACATTAACCACCCGCATATCCAAGTATCTTCCGATCCTGTTCCTTCGTCCCACTGTCTTGTAGCTGAATTTTATTGCTAGAATATCCATTGTGTTAAAATAAAATCAATCAAATATTTAAATATACACTGACGTGCCCGGATTCATGCGATGTGCGCCGGATCGTGCCGGCCTCCACTCAAGCCTAGTGAAGCACAATAACACGGCGGGGCTTAGATTCCATAATTTGCCAAAAAACCTCTAGAGTGATGATAAGCCATGGGGTTTCGATATCTGTACGGAGTTCTCTGATGGTTTTCTGTACAATATCTACACCACTATGCAGATGATATATTGGTGGACCTCCAAAAATAAAGATGATAAAAACTGATCATCTGATCTAGCTCTATTAAGGAAAAACTGGCTTTCAGTACCTGAAAGACCAATATGTTAAGTGGTCATCATCAACGGACTGACACTGTTTCGTTAAACGATTGCAATCACAAATGGGCTCCCTTCTTTCAACGTCTGTTGGAACTCAACTTCACCGCAGGCCTCAAGTGGAACTCATCTATACGACCAACCATTAAAGATCCCATGAATACCTCTCCAGAAAGTATCTCACTCCATCTACCATGCTCTAGACAAAAAAAAACTTAATTACTGCATATCTGGGCTGAAGCTGCTAGCTTTGAGAGAGTTCAAATGCCTTGTGACGAATAAATGGGAGTGGAGAAATAACTTGTCACATTCAATACCTCGAAAACCAAACTAGTAACCTTTCATTATCATTGTGTGGACACTGAACTTTCTCCCGTCGTGATGAATGTTTGAAGTCTTAATGAAGCTCCTTGATTTGAACGCCTATCGTGACTCAAATTCCCCCTCAGACCACAAAGAAAACTGATATACTGGGTGTAATAGCAAAATTTTGCAAATCGTGTAAAACCACAAAATGTTTAATATCTTGAAAAAACACTGTTTCTTTTTCACAGGTTTTCAGCTAACATATTTAGCCATTTTGACACTACTTTTGCTTGAATCACTGAAAGACCATTCGAGTTATTCAGTCAGAAAGAGAAGTGGTTAAAAACGTTTTGTATCAATCCCACTGTTTTCCCAAATGAGCAATGGTGAGAGGAAAAAGATCATTCAGGTCTCCAGTAATGGTACCAATATTCATACTATGACTTCCACCTTCAAAGTCCATTCAAGAACTATCAAGAGAACGGTGAAACAGCTTAAGAAAAGAGGGAACAGTAGAGAGGAAAACAACAGGAAGAGGGGTCAACATTTCAAATTAGAGCTAAACAGATCAATTAGAAAAGATACAACTCAACCCATAAGAAGTTTGGCACGTGAGAGAAGAACTTCAACTATAAGAGTCCAAGGAGCAGTGAAAAAAAGATTTGAAAATGAAAATGTACGTGAAACCTGAGAAGCACATTGTTGCACCAGGACAGAAGGTTAGAATTGTGAGACAAGGCGAGGACCATCTTGAATAAGATGGAAAATTATCCTAAAATATTATATATATATATATATATATATATATATATATATATATATATATATATATATATAAAAACTTTACTTCCGACCCTTAACTATGATTAATTAATGATGAGCCTGTCATTTTCGGTTATGATCGTTTTCATCACACTTAATCTCTTAAGCTCTGAGAGTAATTATAAATTCGTATTGCTCAAAGTAGAATTCAATAGTGTTATAAAAACTTCGAAAAAATTCTAGTAAGATAGCTCTAATCATTTCTATAGGTTCCCGACGCTACTATTTACTCCTGCCTCAAAAACAAAACTTGTGTCGCTGACAAAACTAACCAGGCCGTTTGTCTCTGAAAATGACCTCCAATCGGTTGTGGACTGGGGCAGGAATTGGCTAGTTAAATTTACTTCCTCAAAAACAAAACTGCTCTCCGTTACTCACCACAGAGAACTATCCCTGTCCCCCATTAGAATGTCTGACGCTTAACTCCACGAGAGCACCTCTTTGTGACTGATATACATTGAGTCAATAGCTTCGTCCACCGCAAGGAAAGTTGGCTCCCTGTGCCGCGCCAGGAAATTTTTCTCGCCGGAGTCGATCCTTCAAATCTGCAAATCAACCTTTCACCCTTGCATGGAGTATTGCTGCCATATATGATATGGGGCCCCTTCTGTTTGTCTCTGGGTCATTGATAAAATCCAGAGACGGATATGCAGTGTAATTGGCCCTGATCTGGCATCTCGTCTGCAGTCGCTCTCACACAGACGAGCCGTCGCCTCCCTCTGTCTTTTTTGCAAATAATTTCACGGTAACTGCTCCGATAAGCAGCTTTCGCTGGTTCCAAGACTTCATGAATTTAAGCGTTCAACTAGGCTGGTATCTCGCATTCACCCTTTCATTGTCGAAACGGTTAAATGTCGCCGTCTCTTCTACTCCAATAGCTTCATGCCTCGCACTTCTCGCCTGTGGAACTCCCTCCCTTTTCCTGTTTCTCTGATAGCTATAATCTCCAACTATTCAAATGCAATGTCAATCGACGTCTCCAGATGGCTTGATCTATGCCTCTAGCCTTTCCTCTATCACTCTTCTTTGCTCTCGCTCAAACTCTTTGTAACCCCTTACGTGCTAGTTGCTTCCAGCCTTGCTTGGGGTGAATAAAAAGGAAACAACGTTTCAGAGCTTGATCTAAGAATTGGACAATTTTGTTGTTACACGATTTGGACACTCTTGCTGTTACGTGCAATATACTACCTATCACTGAAGGCTCCTTGTACCGCTCCAGAATGTACCAAATTCCTTCTCCTATGTTCTAATTTGACAAGATCGAAAATGGCGCAGTGTTGTCATATCTGGGCTGAAGCTGCCCTATCCTCATTTTCTAGAGTTTAAAACAGTTTCCGCCTCTTAGTAAATGATAATTAATTTTCCAACTTACAACCCACAGAAGAAACATCAACACTTTTCCATGAAAAATGTACTGACGAGACATATTCCTTAGTTCTACCATAACAGAACTTTCAACTAAGAAATATTATGCTCTGTATGTAGAGGCAAGCCATCCTAATTTGAAAACGCATTCCACAAGTAAGACGACAATTCCATTCGGACAGCTACTTTCCAAGAGACGCTGCTTTACAGAACAAACTCCCAAGAGGATGCTTCATAAATTTTCATCTTAAAATCTAAACCTCTTCATGTCTCGGGTCATCTGTTATCTTTCCTACATACCTTCAGGTTTCTTACCTCGTCCTAGTCTAAACTTATGTCCTACATAAAATCTCATTCAGTAAGCCT